GGGGGGGTAAGGGAGGCAAAGCGCCGAAGGGGGCGCGGGGGTAAGGGAGGATGGGAAGGAAGGGAAACGTGGGGGGAGGAAGCAAGTTGAGGTCGGGGGGTCAAGTGGAACAGCGCTGTAGCTCCCCATCAGGCTTCCTACCTGACATGCTTCCCGTCTCCTCTGTCCAAAACCCCCGTCGTTTTCCGTGTGTATGCGCCCCACCACTCTCCTTCTCCTCCACGCTCCTGGCTGCTGCTCCTTGGGATTGGGGTGCCCTTCCGGAGGCTGCCACCCCGCCTTTCTCCGCCAAACCTCTTTCCGTCCCAGTCCATTTTCCCAATTTTTCTCTTTCCTGGGCTTGCTTTTTGTCCTACTTTCTTGCCCCTTTTTTCCTGTGTAACAATATCTTTTTTTCCTGTATGTCATTCCCATGCCGTGTATGGTAGTATTGGCAGGCAACCCTCAAAGTCATGCGGAAGCGGAAAGCCAAAGGGGGGCCAGCGCCTGCGGAGGGGGCCACTAATGCCGTACAGCAGCACCTGCAGCTGCTGGGACATGCGGTGGCAGCCGCGGCGGGCGAGTTGGGAGCTGCAGCGGGCGAGTTGGCGGCGGCGCTGACGGCGGCTCTTGGTACGGGAGGGGGCTCCCCAGCGTGTGTGTCGGCCGCTGTAGAGCAGGCTGTACGGTTCTTAAAGGTGAGTGGTGGCGGGGCCGTGAGTGTGCCGTGGTACGTAACGTCGGTGATTGTTTTAGCAGTGGCCCATATCCCTTGCCGGCCGCATCCAGCTGCTGCTTCCCCGAGCACTGCTGCGCGCGAGACCTGACTACAATCGACTACACCGTCCTTCCCGCTGTGGCATTGCCACACAACCGTCTTTTGCGGTAATTAACAAGAACCACCGCTTTCGACGCAATGGCCGCTCTTTGCAGCTTGGTTTCGATACATACGTGCGCAGACTGCGTGTGTCTTAAGCCGCCTAGCCGGCTGATTATGATTATTTACGGGTCCATCATGTCCATTTATGGGGCTTATTTCTCTCCCGCACCCATCCTCACCCACAACCCACAACCCACACTCCATCCCATCCATACACCGCAGTCCCAGGGCCACGCCGCTGCCGCCGTGTCCGAGTCCGCCACCTCATCGCTGGAGTCCCTCATCCGCGAGCAGCGCCTCACGGTGGCTAGCATTGCCAGGCAGGCGGCGGCGCTGGCGGCAGCACTCCGATGAGACCAGCTCTCCGCGTCTAGCGTTGAGCTAGGGTTGAGCTCTGGGCTATGAGTTCAGTTAGAGTGATCTAGGCTTAGGCGAGGAGCGGCGAGCAGATCTGAGAGCGCGTATGCGTGTGTGTGTATGTATGTGTGTGCGTGTGCTCCTACTTTTCCTGCAGCCGGTGTCATGTAAGCCGTGCCCTCGCCGTCTGAAGGGGAGGGTTTTTCGTCGGATGGTGAGAGACGCTGAGCATTTGTTGCGGTTATGGAGATGGAACACGCGCACCCGTAGGGGGCGGAACGAGATGTGGGAGGGGCTGGTGGGGGGGGGGGGCCCGCCGCGCTGGTGTAGGACGTGCGGTGGTTACGTTGTTGTTGGGTTTAAGAAAAGAAGCATCGGAAAACCTGGATAGCACCAAAGTAAACCAATCGTGTATATGGGGTGGGATATGGGTGGGATGGGATTGTAGAATGTGGTTGTCAGCACTTGTTATGCGCCGGGATCGAACACCTGCAAGAAGTCATGAACCGACCTTGAACTGCCTCAAGAGCCCGAGTATTCGCAAACTCTCGACAGATAGACCGGGGGATAATAATCTGTGGCCAGGTCAGGAAGCCTCGCGCCAGGACAGCAACAGGAGGATTCCCTGGCTTAAACCGTCAATGGCACCCAAGAAGGACTGGGTGATTGCCGGGTGGAGTGTGCTGTTGTCTTCTGTCTTCAATACTGTCTTACCACCTGGGTCGCCCAGGCCCCGTGTGGCATGACGGTCATTATATGGACCATGCTCCAGATGTAGGAGCTTTGCTGCAAGATCGAGTGCTGTAACACTGAATCCATCACGTCACAGGGGCTGCACGGAAATTTTTACGAGCAAAGTTTTACATGCAAATAATTGGAGCTTTCCTCCTTGGACAGAGGGGTGTTCACGACTTAATGATGGACTATTCTCCGTTCTGGAGACTGAAGCAGGCTAAAGGTGCGAAGGTGCGTATCGTTCACAGTGCGAGTTCCGGTTGCGGAGCGTCGTCGCGGGGATGCATCTGGCCCAGGCCATGTCACAGGAATTACGCGAAAGAGGAAAGAAGGGATGGACGTTTCCAAATTATGATTCCGCTGCACAATGGTGAATCGGGCCAGGCTGCCACCGTAATACGAGCCCTCTGAAATATACTAGCACACACCCAGGAGCAAGCTAACGCCGATACGCCTGTGCGACTCCTGGTTGATTTGTTTGGTTCTGAACTACCTGGGATTGCAATGGGAAGGGAGCGGCACTTGAGCCTTCTTGCAGGAAGTTAAGTACGGACCTCTAAAAGCGTTTTTTTCGTTTTAGGGGGTGTCAACTAAACTCCAAAGCAAGGAATGAATTTCTCAAAGTAAGACGGGATAAGCTGTTCCTTGACCGTGAGCCGCTGGGAGGGCTAGAAGTCCCATCAAGTGCAAGCCTTGGACAGCCGGACCATGACTCTTTGCTGCTGGTCCCTGTGTTGGGAAATCTTTGGAGTAGCGCCCTTCGCCGCGTTCGCTCCAATCAGAAATGCTTGTCTGCGCTGTTGACTTCCGGTAGGGGTTTTCAAGGACTATCCACTCCATCTTTGAGCAGACATTACGCTGGCCGGCGTCTTTCTGACCCAAGGAATGAGTTTACACAACCGAATGGCGGCAGAGGGCGAAAACCCAGATGCATTTCATTAAGGATTCTAAAAGAACTTTGCCTGCGTACTATCTGCTTGTTCGGCAAATCTTTGTTTGTAAAAAAATGTTTTTTTACGAACAGGGTGCGTTTAGAAGGTAATTGCCTTCGTACGATGGATTTGCCGATGCGGCCCACCTGGCAGTTATGTACTGTGCTTCGCGACGGATCGGGGATCGAGTTCGTATAGCCCGAATGATGCCGCTAGCAGTTGCCGTCTGTTTAGTAGAGCTTAATACGATGCGGTCTTTGAGGATCTTCATAGGCCAATACACAAGAGGTCGTGAAGGGCTTGAAGGGGGATATATTACCACCAAGGCGACGTAACGCAATGTATTACGTGATGATGATGTTCCACGCAAATCCATTCCGTCAGGACAGTTACCCAACATTAGTCCTGCAAGGTTCCTGCTTATGTGACTGGATAAGTCTGGATAAGTGCTAATTCTAGAACACGCAGCCTACCCAAGGCTAAGGTGAAGCGACAAACCCTCATCATATCCGTCGAAAAAAAGAAAACTGCTTGATCAAACTACCTTGAGCTCAGATTTATTGCCCTACTGGCTGAATCATGAGACGTTGCCAATGACGCCACAACTGACAAAGCGCAAGGTGCTGAAGGCGCGCTGTTACTGTTTTAGATTTTATTTTGCTTAGCCCTTAAATCGCAATGCTGGGCGCTGGGAAACGACCCAGCCCTTGCGTAATGGTACGCGAAGTCGCGGCAATTGCAATGAAGCACAGGAAAATTTCAATCAGTTAGGAATTTAAGCTTTATAGATAGATTCTCGGACATTTGCGCATCAGCTGCAGTGCTTTGTTGCATTCTACCCTGTCACCATGCCTAGGTGGGTTGACCCAGCGGCGACAGTGGGAATGTCCAAAAAAACAGCAGTGCTGAAAGGGAACCAGGCCGCTCCTAACAACTGGGAAGTGCAAGTGCCACATTAAGTTGGTTTCTTACTGATAAGTTTTGATCAGGCTTAAGCAGATCCTACGGATGCGGATGCTTTAGACGCAGCGAGAACCGGAAAGAACCTGCCGAACAAGTGCCCGGGGTCCGGCAGCAATCTCGAGTAACATCATAAAAGGCATAACTCCAGGCAATAATAGCAACTGAAAACAAGTCTGTTATCTGAAGTTCGTGGAGTGTCGCCTCGCAGCTACTGATCGACTGCATCGCCACAGCCATCAGCCCTGAGGTTATTATGAGTTACATAGCATCATAAAATCATAAATAACTGCAAAGGCAGGCGGTCCGGGACAATTGTCTGTCTGGCAGCAGCACAGCTGTACAAGCTGTAGTATACGAAAATGCAATTATACGAAACACGACCAAGAAGCCGAAACTAGATAAGTAACGTTTGGATTTGTTTAATTTATTAGGTTAAACTCGATTAGCATCGGGTTAAGTGCAGCGTTGCCTTGTTTGGTACTCCCGTCGGCCATTCCTATAGTCCACCGTGCATTTAGTAGCTTTCAGTGTTCCAGAGGCACATTCTGATATCTTTCCTCTATCAAAATGTCATCTCACAAAGGATTAGGAGCTCTTTTCATTGCCACAATACTCCTCACGGCAACAGCAGGTTGGTTAAAAGTCGGTTCCCCACTCATTGTGTCGCCTCGGATCGCATGACTGACTGACTTTACTGCGCAAACCCGGACCTCCAACTGGAATTTGACATAGACATGCTTGACGTGCGTGGATTTGGCCGTTCCAGTCATTCGGCACACAGAGAAGGATCATGCGTTCGAGCCTAGCCTTGACGCGTCAACCACCCCCGCCTTCCATCCCCTCGCATCTGTATTGCAGTGGCAGCTGCCAAGGAACTTAGCCCCAAGCCCGAAGACAGCAAGAAGCATGCTGAACGCCTCAAGCACGGCTCAAGCCCGAAGCCGAGCAAGGGTACCAAGCATGGCCGCTCCCTGTGTAAGCGAGGGGCTTTGTAGCAGCTAGAGGCGCACCTAAAACTGCTTATGTGTTCACGTTGCGGCCGCATTTACACAAGCCTGAGCAGGGTGCGCACATACATATATACAGCAGCACAACCTCAATGTGTTGTCAGCCTTGTAATATGGCAGAACGGTAGGGCACGTACATCTTACTCTTGTCCCATGAGGCCATGGATTGCTGCGTCAACATTTGCATCTGGCGGTTTAGCCACCCGCCGCACATTGACCTCACGTTTGTGCATCACTACAACCGCATTTCCCCTGCCTTGCCCGCCTTCCTTCCTCTCAAATCTTCTTGCAGTGGAAGCTGCCAGCGCATTGAGCCCCAAGCCCACAGCCAGCTCCAAGCCTGCCCATAGCCCTGAGCCTGCCCATAGCCCTGAGCCTGCCCATAGCCCTCAGCCAGCCAAGAGCCCTGAGCCTGCCAAGAGCCCCAAGCCAGCCAAGAGCCCTGAGCCAGCCAAGAGCCCTGAGCCTGCCAAGAGCCCCAAGCCAGCCAAGAGCCCTGAGCCAGCCAAGAGCCCTGAGCCAGCCAAGAGCCCCAAGCCTGCCGAGAGCCCTGAGCCAGCCAAGAGCCCTGAGCCGGCCAAGAGCCCCAAGCCCAGCGGAGGTGCCAAGCCGCGCCGCTCCCTTTGTAAGTGAACGCGGAGGCAGTACCCAACTAAATCCTGCCTACCTGTCGCATCCCATGTTGGACTGACAACTGTCCTAATTTGGATTAGCTAGATGCGCAGGGTAACACTTCTCTCATCTGTGCGTATGCGTATGTATGTGTGTTCACTGCATGTCTTTCTGCAAGGCATTTTTGCGCTGGTCGGTGGCAAAGTCCACAGAGCTCTAGCCTTAGCTTTTCATGCTTGACGTGCGTGGATTTGCCAGTTCCAGTCATTCGGCACACAGTGAAGGATCATGCGTTCGAGCCTCCTCAACCACCCCCGCCTTCCATCCCCTCGCATCTGTATTGCAGTGGCAGCTGCCAAGGAACTTAGCCCCAAGCCCGAAGACAGCAAGAAGCATGCTGAACGCCTCAAGCACGGCTCAAGCCCGAAGCCGAGCAAGGGTACCAAGCATGGCCGCTCCCTGTGTAAGCGAGGGGCTTTGTAGCAGCTAGAGGCGCACCTAAAACTGCTTATGTGTTCACGTTGCGGCCGCATTTACACAAGCCTGAGCAGGGTGCGCACATATATACATAATAGGTCAGGCAATACTGGTAAAAGGACACACTGATGCCCCCGGAGGTTCCGGGAAAATCCTTCCAATGGTGGAGGGTAAAAGTGCCCCTAGTCGATGGACGGTGGTGACCTGGGATAAAGTTGACCTGCAAGCTGATCAGGAACGGAGTTAAGCCGCCGTTGCTCCGGCAGATTCCGTTGGATGCGGATGGTGGATGGTGAATCTGAGCGATCCACTGAGAAGTTGGCTTAGGTTACTGGATGAGGGTGCCCCGAAATACCGGGGAAAGAAGGGTCTGCCGGGTAGCGACCACAGGGTGAAGGTATGACCCCCCTGTCCCAAACATCATATATACAGCAGCACCTACTCAATGTGTCAGCCTTGTAATATGGCAGAACGGTAGGGCACGTACATCTTACTCTTGTCGCATGAGGCCATGGATTGCTGCGTCAACATTTGCATCTGGCGGTTTAGCCACCCGCCGCACATTGACCTCACGTTTGTGCATCACTACAACCGCATTTCCCCTGCCTTGCCCGCCTTCCTTCCTCTCAAATCTTCTTGCAGTGGAAGCTGCCAGCGCATTGAGCCCCAAGCCCACAGCCAGCTCCAAGCCTGCCCATAGCCCTGAGCCTGCCCATAGCCCTGAGCCTGCCAAGAGCCCTGAGCCGGCCAAGAGCCCCAAGCCAGCCAAGGGCCCTGAGCCGGCCAAGAGCCCCAAGCCAGCCAAGGGCCCTGAGCCTGCCCATAGCCCTGAGCCAGCCAAGAGCCCTGAGCCGGCCAAGAGCCCTGAGCCGGCCAAGAGCCCCAAGCCAGCCAAGAGCCCTGAGCCAGCCAAGAGCCCCAAGCCTGCCGAGAGCCCTGAGCCTGCCAAGAGCCCCAAGCCCAGCGGCGGCCGCAAGCTCGGCCGCTCCCTGTGTAAGTGTTGGAATGCGCGAGCAACCACCAATATTTCCTGACTCACATCGACTCTCAAAGCTTGCGTAAATACAGGGATATGTAATAAGCAGGAGTAAGACACGACTGCCCACGCAGAAGCGCTGCCTGGCTCTGCTGCATATCCTTAGCGGAGATCAAATAGATATTGCTCGGTCCTTCCCTGCATGTGACGCCTGCCGTGGTACCCGCTGCACATCCAGCCATGCGCTTGTATGTGCCTCATCACCCGCCTCCCTCCTCCTTTTGCCCTTCCTCCTCCTGTGATGCAGTGGAAGCTGCCAGCACATTGAGCCCCAAGCCCACAGCCAGCTCCAAGCCTGCCCATAGCCCTGAGCCTGCCCATAGCCCTGAGCCTGCCCATAGCCCTGAGCCAGCCAAGAGCCCTGAGCCTGCCCATAGCCCTGAGCCAGCCAAGAGCCCTGAGCCTGCCCATAGCCCTGAGCCAGCCAAGAGCCCTGAGCCGGCTAAGAGCCCCAAGCCAGCCAAGAGCCCTGAGCCAGCCAAGAGCCCTGAGCCAGCCAAGAGCCCCAAGCCTGCCCATAGCCCTGAGCCTGCCCATAGCCCTGAGCCAGCCAAGAGCCCCAAGCCAGCCAAGAGCCCTGAGCCAGCCAAGAGCCCTGAGCCAGCCAAGAGCCCCAAGCCTGCCGAGAGCCCTGAGCCTGCCAAGAGCCCCAAGCCCAGCGGCGGCCGCACATCTGGCCGCTCCCTTTGTAAGTGTTAGATAACATAATAAATGAATGCACCGCATGTGCTATATGACCAAGCAGATTCAAGCTTGGCCGTACCCATCTGTATGATTATCTGTCGTCGCATGTTGGACAGTGATGAATGCACTTGTCTCCGTATATCCATCTGCGGGGCTTATGTATGTATGCATGGCAAGTATTCAGTGGGTGAACGACATCATCATGCATGCAGCACGTGGTTCCATTGGCATCCGCTGGGAACACTGTTTGGCGCATGTATGCGTATACTAACGTGCGTGCGATGCTTTGATTGCGAGCTGTGCAGTTTCTGCCACGTGCCCCGCTGATGTATTTCCCAGGGAAGCGCCATGTATTGCGTCCCTACCTGCTGTACATGTGGCCACACGTCGATATGCGTGCATGCATACCTCGGCATAGGTTCCCGCCTGACTCGCAATTCATCACCAGCTGTATGCATTTGTAGCCCGCCTGATAATCTATTCCATACGCTGCCACATCGCATGTCTCTCCACGAATAGTGGCGGCTGCTGTGACGGCGTCGAGCCCCAAGCCGGCTGGCAGCCCCAAGCCAGCCAAGAGCCCTGAGCCAGCCAAGAGCCCTGAGCCAGCCAAGAGCCCCAAGCCTGCTGAGAGCCCCAAGCCCGCTCAGAGCCCTGAGCCTGCTAAGAGCCCCAAGCCGGCTGAGAGCCCCAAGCCTGCCCACAGCCCTGAGCCGGCGAAGAGCCCCAAGCCCGCCCATGGGTAGCCCCAAGCCAAGCCGTCCTCAAGAGTGAGCGAAGCTTAAAGAAATGCACTGACTCGGCAAAATAAAACATGGCAAGCTGGAGGGCATGTATTTCTGTCCATATTAGTAATCAGCAGTCCTATTCGCTCTGGCATGCACGGATGCGTGATGTAGGGTAGTGCCGGCATGCAAGTCATAGCAGCATAGCTTTACATGTTAGTGTCAATCGTATCGCAGGGCTGAAGAGCACTAGCAGTCTGCGTGGTCGCCCTACTACGGAGCCCCTCTTTACCTGTATCTGTGTTTTGGGGGCGCGTACCCAGAATCTGTGCTCGCTGCTGTTGGCTTCCGAAGCTTGTAGGATCCAAGGGGAAATGTTATTCGACTCGCTTTTGACGCATTGCGTCGTTGCGCCGCCGTTGTGTGCCTCCAGGGAAACCAACCTAGCGAATTGCAACCTTCGTACATTGCTTCGTATGTACGGCAGGGCTCAGCGAGCGTTTGTTGGGATGAGGCGTACTTATTGGGCGCACTTTCCAAGCATCTTGTGCATAGAGGATTCCTGCGAGCCTGTTAATTTGACCAAGAACGCTGTGTTTTACGAAATGTGCGATGAACGACCTGTGTGATGAACGACCTGTGCGTACAATTCTTTAGGATGACTTCTCTTTTTTGGATTCCATCTATCTACTGTCCGACGTTGAAAGTGATTGGTTTGTGTACCCATAGAATTTCTTTCCATCTTTTAACGCCTATCCATGCTGATCGCCAGCTAGTAGCAAGTAGACTGATGTAGGCGGTAGCTGCTTTGTGGAATAGGATGTGTGCCCGCGCCGTGCCTATCCTGCGCGCGTGCCTATTAATTTCAGCGCATAGACGAGGTTAAGATGCTATTTCATTTACTTTTTAAATAAGAAATCGGACAGCAGCGGGCCCGGTACGCCGCTGCTGCATGTAACATTTTCGATCGGAACGTGATGAAGGCTTTATTTTGCGCCCAGACTCAATCTCGCTTTTATCCCAGATGATCATTTGATGAGCTTACACCCTCAATGCAAAATTATTCAGCGAACAAGTAATTCGCTCCGTGCGTCACGAGGCAGCCAGACATGATGACGGTCATGCACGTCAGCTTACACGTTAACACGACGGATGCGATTCATCATGCATAGGAAAGGTTAAACAAGGTCAAATCCCTAAGGTTAACAGGGTTACATTAATTCACAAATCAAAGGCTTGCGTTCTTAGCACATCTTAGCTATGCCGGCATGCAGGCACTCTTAAGCAAAACAATATGCTCACTCCTAAGCGAACCTCTACTTCCTCTTGCTGACACCAAACTAAAGAAGTCAAAGCCCGACACCACCACACACGCTAGTACGCCGTCGCAGGCAGGTCTAAGCAAGCGCACGCCTGCTGCATGTGAGTCATCATTAGCCACACCCACTACATACCCAGTTGCCAGAACTCCCTTCTGCCTGCCAGCCTGCCTGTCGACTTAACGGCTTGCCTGTTGCTTGCCATCCTGCCGTACATGCATGACCAGAGGCTGCCTGTCCGGATGGTCCAGAAATGGAGAACTACTACTACTAGCAGCATGGTGTCCACCGACCATCGCAGCCTAAACAGGCACCTAGAGAGATTGGTGAGCTACAGTGCAGCCGTTACTTGCCTGCGTTAGACATATGTTTTTACCTAGCTGTCATGGTAAACTACAAGTAAAAATTTAAAAGGAGAGTAAAAATCTACAGCATGATGAATAGGATGAAGTCATACAAGGAAATAACGAAGCAGCATCGTCCCCAGAGTAGTGTTCGATGTCGGCGATACACATGGACAGCTTAAACGGATTAACGCAGTGTGACGGAGCAGCTGACAACCGTATACAATCTCTTGAAAAACAATTAAGCGGCTCTACCTGGATGCGCGTGCACCTTTGTGCGCTGGGAAATGCTAATTGTTCGGATACACCTAGCCGTTTGTACAGCCGTGCATTCCCCTACGAGCCCCCTACGTTGCACATACGGATTGTCGGGATTATTCTTGGGATGGATAACTGCATGCGCGCCGCCCCGAAAGAACAAAAGAAGCCATGCCCTGGCTTCCGAAGAAACAATCACGCAGGCAAGCCGAATGAGTCGTCAGGCTGGCCTGCGTGATTGGTTCTGCCTAGATCGCAGGCACAGGCAGAGGACCTCTCGTATCAGCAGCGGGAGGCAGGGCAAACTCATCAACAGTACGGCGCATTTGTGCACAATTCCCAACATGGCCATAAAACCCTTGCATGCAATTACCTATCTTTATCACGCGACCATGCATCGACATGCATCGACCATGCGTGCCTGCCGCGTCCTTAACTTCATACGACCGTCAGATCGAACTGCATGGGGTGCACTTGAGTGTCAGTTAGTTAAAACGACCGATTAAACCGAAGCCCTGTGCTGTGCCGTACAGGCGTGAACCAATCGACATACAGATGTGGCGGAAAACGCCGTACGTCTGCCGTACGCACGTGTTTTGTCGATGCTACAGTCGTATGACGCGACACCAGATAGTTCCCATCAAAGCGCTTTTGCTCTGGTTCCCACTGCCGTCGCTTGGTGATAAACGTACGTCTGCATAATATTCCTCGATTCATAGATACCCACAGAATAAAATTTACTTGCCGATCACAGCTGGTCATCCGGCTGCCAAAAGGTATTAGCACTTCCCTGGGACGTGAACCAATGAGATTCAGGCACTCTGATGCACTGTTGATGACAAGCGATCCATTGAGAAGCATGTGCGTATCTGTATCGANCGGTGCGCGACTTGTACCAAACCGAGTGCGCAACAACGAGATCCGCGGGATAATGTGTGCGGGCGTGGGAAATGGGCTGGTGCGTCACTGAGATGAAATGGATGCAGCTTCCATGCAGGCGGCCTGGACCTATCGTGCGACGTTCATCAATCGACTTTCCGTTCAACACTCTTTCCAGGGGGTACGTGAGTAGCGTAGACAGGCAGGTCAAAATAACTGTATGATGGTTAGCAGCCAGTGCCGCGTGTAAGGACCAAGTCGAAGCGTGTCTTCGTGCAAAGAGACCAACCGCATAACGCTCGGTACTGGAGCGCCACAACTGCTGTGTCCATAGCGAAGCAACTCTGTTTGTATGTACGTACGTACGTTTGTACGTGTGCGTGGGAGGGCATCAAACCGTCCGCGGCAGGCGGATGCGTACACAATACGCCAGTCAGCGAGGTCAGCGGCGTCAGATGACCGACGGCATACACGCGGAGGAGTTGGAGGGCACGCCGGGCGGACAAGGAGGCAAGATCAGAAGGTTTCCAAATAGTTATATGTTAGCTAGGTAACACAGAGCCAGTGAAAAAAGGGACTCCAGCAGCATAGGTACCCGGGATAAACCATAGTAAGGTGGGAGTCTAGTTTTTATGTTAGCCTCTAGTGCAGTGCACGGCCAGCTGGCCCGCTGGCTCTACTCTTCGTGAGTCTGGAGCCCACTGTAGCAACCACAGTAAGAGCACTTGGAGGACGAGGCATAGACGAACCCTCGATAACGGATACCAGCGGTGTGAGTTATCAGTTATTAGGCTGTCGGAACGCACCCGCAAGGGGACGAAACACAAGACAGGGTGAAGAAATAAAACGGCCGTTATCCATCTAACACGCTCAAAACATATAGGAGCGTACATGCGGCGCAATAGCTTTTTGCGCACCTCAAAATCTGTTTCAAAGCGAAGCTGCCACAGAAGCCCTGAGCAGTGTGTACGTAAGGCGGGAAATATCGATTGAACAATTAGGGTGGCATGTACTTTTTTTATGGGATTGTGCGGCGATTTAGGTGGGTATGCGAGAGGCGTACAAGTGTCAGGCAGGCCAGCTTGGCAAGTGTAGAGCGCGCGGCACTCAGAGCCGGCAATAAGGGAAGCAAATGAAACGTGCATGAAGGAGAACACAGGCCTAGCGACTTACGTCCGAAGTTGCTTTCTGTCCATTCTTTCTTTTCCATTATTGATGTTTATGCCTAGCTAGAGCTCTCTAGATGGACCATGGGCAGGTATTTCCTTGCTTAACCAGGTTGCATGTAATGTTGACTTACATGCAACATTATTATTGTTGGGAACCTTCATGGTACTGGAAAGGACGCCCATTTTGTCCATGCTGTCATACGAGGCGCAGATTCCCTCGAGGTTGAGTGAGGGAGAGATGCCGTAGCTCGCTAACAAGTTCGCCAAACCCGTTCCCTGTGCGC